GATAGTGCGATAGTGTATTGTTCTTTGACTGTCTCACTTAAAATTCTACATTTAGTAACTTTTGATGTAATGCTTGTTACTTAAGTGTACCTGAACAATCTCTTGACAAGAAATTGCGCTCAGAACCTAGCCCCCTCTTCACTCACTGGCTGATAAGAGACATAGGAATTGGCTAACTCAGGAACTCGCTAACTCGGTCGTGTGGCGGAACTGGCTAACTCTGGAACTGGCTAACCGTCTCAGTCAGGAATTGGCTAACTCCGGAACCCGCTAACTCGATTTTGTCTCGCGGCGGAATTCGCTAACTCTGGAAGTCGCTAACCCGGCCGCGCCCACTGCTCGGAGCGTTGCCAACCTTGTACGACAAAATAATCGTACACTGCCGTATTTCAAAATGTCAGTGTCTATAAAGATACAGTAAATGTTATTTTTTATTGTTATCAATTCCACTTTTAACAGATAACTAGCCCAAAGTAATTAAAAGACAATTAAAAAATCATGAAAAAGTGTTTTTTATTAAACTGTACAATGGCCAGTTAAATGTTTATGATTTCGATCTTAAATATAAATGCCATCAGTATAAAAGAAAATAATAGAATATGAAAAATATTCAAAATTTAGTTTAATTGGTAATAAATAATTAAACCTCTACGAAAATAAGCTAAAATACACGCAAGTTCTTAAACACGGAAAACAGATTTAATTGTAATGTCGTAATAAACCAAAACCATTAATTAATACAGTCATCAACCATCGTAACTTTCATAATTAATTCATAGATTTTAAATTAAATGTTCGTCATTGAACCGTCCAACTTACGTGTACAAATATGATGACATAGACTAAGTTTTTATCCAGGCCTAATAGTTTGAACCAAAGCATTGTAGGCCTACTAGTAAATAGTTGCCTAATTCTAAAATGTGTTGAATTTTTTGCAATAATGTTTCATGTTTTAAAACAGTTTTTAGATTGTACACCTAAGCACCACTAGTAAAAAATAGGAGAAGATATAATATTCATATAATAAAACGTGACAGGGTTATTTTAATTCACGATTTTTAATAAACTAATTGACGGATTTTCCTGATTTGAGTGTTGGGTTTCCTTTATATTGCTTTCACAAACGATATACACTATACCAAGCCATTGCTCGGTTCACCGTTCCCCAGTACTGAGCTACACAATAGACAATAGCTTTGTTTTTGGATAAGATAGAATCAGCCTGGAAAAAAACTCCAGACTTTTAAAAAGTAAGCCTACTGAAGGACGTAAAATTAATATTAATTCAACAAAATTAAGAGGATGACCCGGGTTCTACACTAATAGCCTACGATAAAAGAAATTTACAAGTTGTATTTATGCATAGACTAACTTTTAATGCAATCCATGAATACATTAGGCCTACCACTTTATAATGTATTGATAAATATTTATTTAAATTCAATAGCTCTATTTAAAAATACATAACCACTACAATGTGATTCTGTAATGACGTTTAACGTGTAAATTTTATTATGATTTATGATTTAAGGTTACTACAAGCCCAGTATATAAAATACGAACTAAAAAATTTTATTTGCAGAAGTTCACAAAATGGTATTTATTCGAATAAAAGAAACAAATGGCGGACTACGAAAATAGATATTTCATAACATGTAATAGATCCAAATTAAATGTGCATTTTTATCTTTTTCATACCAATAAGCTACTATTTAAGTAAGAAACCCACATATAAAACATACTCCCTTATATTAGTACATTTCTCATCCTTATGGATGATCTGAAGACAGTTGTATTGTTAGTTCTGTCCGGTGTACTGTCTTTAGAGGTTGTGTTTGGTTTACAATTGTTTCTCGTTTTCAGTAATTTAAAACCTCGTTTAACCAAATAAAACGTTCTATAATCACAACTAATAACACGTCCCCTAGTTATATAACCAAACAGTAAGGAACAAATCATGAAGTTAACTATAAAATAATAGAAACACAATTTTGTCGACACTAGCGATCAGTGTCACCGGACATGAACTAGACACCAAAAACGAGCTTCAAAGTTTACAATGGGATGTAAAGTTTACTTGTGTTGGTTAGTCTATGGTAAGACTATAATGCATTTTCCACCCTAATAATCATAAGAACTTCTCTGTGGTTAAACATACTTCAAAATATATTTATTTTATCGACTACGTTGCTCTTACTCCTAATTAAGCGTAGGATACGACATTATGGTGCCGATACGATATAGGTACTACACTTTCGGCAACACTGGCCAAAAATATTCGTGCTTGGCTCCCATTGGACGGCCCGCGAGGCTTCTGATTGGGAGTTAGCGAGTTCCGCCGAGGGACCGAGTTAGCGACTTCCGTACGAGGACGGAATTCGCTAACCCGGCTCTAGAGCGGGTTAGCGGGTTCCGGAGTTAGCCAATTCCGAAACCGAACAAGTTAGCGAGTTCCTCTCATCGACCAAATTTGAAGATAGGGCATTTAACATGGGGTTAGCGAGTTCCAGAGTTAGCCAATTCCGCGGACCCGCTGATAAAGCTGGGGAGAGGGCAGGTCAAGCAGAAACTTTCTCTTATCACTGGACACGGCCATTTGAGGAAAACCCTCCACACTCAAGGAATTGTCAATGACAATCATGACTGTCGACTTTGCAACCAGTCCAATGAGACCCCCTGCATATACACACCTTAGTGTATATCAGTGTCTCAAAGAATTTATGGTTTACTAGCAGAGTACCCGTCTTTCGTACGGGGTTGGCAAATAAGTATATAGGGCTTATTGCAGTTATACTCAAGCTTTGCCTTTGTAATGGGTAAGGACACAATTTTTGAAAATTAAATTTGTTTCTTTAAATTTATAGTAAGCTATAACACATCTACCATTGCCATAAGGCTCTATCACTGCACCAAAATCATAGAAATAAATCAATAAAATAAATAAATCAAATATTCAAATTTATATAGATATCAAAAAGTGTTTATTAAGTTAAAAACATAAACATAACTGTAAACAATCCTACTTTGACAGTTCTCATAGAGTATCAAAGTTTTTGTTGCTGCTTAGTTCAAACTAGTGGGGCCTTGGTTCAAATTAACTGTTTTCATAAATCTAATATATAAAATTCTCGTGTCACAGTGTTTGTCTGCAAACTCCTCCGGAACAACTTCACCGATCGTTATGAAATTTGGTGTGTAAATTCTGTAGGTATGCGAATCGGACGTAAACTATTTCCCGTTTCGAAATTCTTAAAAGGGCTCCGCCCCAGTGGCTCTGGAGTTTCCCATGTTAACCTTATGAGAAATGGAATTAATTAATCTTAACAGCTGTTTCAATTAAACAAGTTGGTTCTGTTCTATGATGTTCAATAGCATTAAAGTTACAAGGATTACCAACAGAGTGCAGCACTATTATTTCTTTTACATTTATGACAACAGCTAATTTGCAACCAAAAGGTGAGTGAGCGTAGCGAACGAACTTCAACCTGGAGGCGAGTTAGCGTAGCGAACGAGCTAACCTGAAGGCAAGTGAGCGCAGCGAACGAGCTCCAACCTAAAGGTGAGTGAGCGTAGCGAACGAGCTCCAACCCAAAGGTGAGTGAGCGTAGCGAACGAACTTCAACCAGGACGTGATTGAGCGATGCGAACGAGATCATCTTGAAAATTAAACGTAACGGTACTTTCTTTCCATCGGTCTGTCTTAGGGGAAACCTATAACTTAGGCGATACGAAGTTCGCCGGGTCAGCTAGTAAATAAATAAAATATTGTGCTGCACCCTGTTGGTAAATCTTTTAACTTTTAATGCTTTTGCAGATCATAGAATCAACTTTTGTATTAGTTGAAACAGTTGCTGACAGAATTCTTTAATTCCCTTAAAATATGAATACTCATAAGGTTAACATGGGGAACTACAGATCCACTGGGGCGGAGCCCGAAAGGATTTTTGAGATAAGAATGTGCCTAAATGTTAATCGCGAATGTGAGCTCGTCATGCCAAATTTCAGCCCAAAACGTCCAGTAGTTAATGCGTGATTGAACTTCAAAACTAACAAACAAACACACAAACTTTCACATTTATAATATTAGTAAGATAAGATAATTATTTCATTAACCACCTTAAAGGCAATCTAAACCACCAGCTTCACAAAAAAAAGAAGTATGTAGATAGTACAAAAGCTTTGAGGGTTGCATCTAAAGCACACTGTTGTGTAGCTAAAGAGATGAAAATGAAAATAAAATGTTATATTAGGCCTCAAAATCATTGGTAATTAATTTCTGTTATATGACAGCCCAGATAATTCTTTCACTTTTGTTGGAAACAAACAAAATGGCTAATTGTACTTCATTAGCACGTATTCTATAATTCAGGTTGTAGAGATGTATATTGGATGAAAAAATATGAATTGTCCAATGTCTATACGGTGTCAGAAGTTTTTTTTTTTTTTCTACAAGATTTGTAAAATAATAAATCTTACAGTTTGCAAAATAAATGTGATATTTGTTGCAGATTCAAGTATTAAGTCTGTCGATGATCATTTTCATGTTGATTTCCAAGAAACAATCAGTGAATCACTAGCGGAGAAGTTTGATAACATTCCTTTTGTTGATGAAAGAATCCTAACAACAGTAAGGTAAGTGATATTTAACATTTTTATATTGCTTTTGCTAAACAGAAAGCAAATATAGTTTTAACACTCTCAGGGCTACGGTAATCCATGTGTTATGTATTATATATCTTCAACCAGTTGCTAGGGGTTTACGGTGCATCGAAAAGGTCGGTATGGTTTGGTACAGCTTTTTTCTCGGTATGGATTTGATTTGATACAGCCTACAATAATCAATAACTTTCAATTCACTATTGTAGTCAAAAACTTGTCAAAAGTAATTTTTCTCAAGTCAAACAGTAAAACTAATAAGACAAGCCAGCTGACTAGAACCAAACAGAACGGCTGAGTAAAACTACACATTATTGAGGGGGGAAAATAACAAATAAAAAATGTTTGCTAAAATTGTTGCATTTTTATAATTTGCGATTCTTAGAATTTTTAGTTTGTAACAATATTAAATTATCTTCTTTGGGTGCTAAATAATTAAATACCCAATGCAGTTGCTTTCATTACACTTTTATATCTAAACATATCATTAAGAACATGTACAGAGTCAATAATACTTATTACACATCAGCCAAAGCAGATATTAATTTCACGTATATTTGAATACCATTCAGGAATACTTTTCTGTTCAAAAATTCATCGTGGTCGTGTAGGAGCACTGGTGTGTTATTCATCGGCGAAAAACCAAAGGCAGGAATTCCAAGACCCCTGATGTATCTAGCGTCAGTAGCAGCAGGAAATATTTGAGTGTTCACCTTTACGCCCATTTGGTCAAATTGAGATTTCAACGCAACCCACCAAGGGTTTTTATCGGAGAGCCTCGTCGGTTCTATTCTTTTCTTCTTGTCTTGTATTTCAACTCTGACTCCTTCGCCGGCTTGTTTACACACTTCGTCAATCCACTTTTCAAACTCATCGTGATCATAGTTTAGACTGACTCTACAATCGAACACTGCCCTCAACTCTGGCGGGACCACATTAGTTTGAACCCCACCTTCTAGCATGGTCATATTTATGGTGGTTACGTCTCCTAGCGTTAGATTTGGATTATCTTTAAGCTTTTGCTTTTCCTCAGATCGTTTCTCCATGAATTTGTTGATAACAATTGAAATCTTTTCACCAGCCGTGTTATCATGGAGGAGAGATCCGTGACCGGGAGTTCCGGAGCAGATTACAACGAGTTTATAACACGTCCTCTCTCCATAGTATAGGTTATACTCCTCGTTTGGACTAGCAACTCCTTCGTCCAGTTCGCACCCGATGTTAAGCTTTTTGAAAGCATCAGTTTGTACAAAAAGTTTCATACCCTGAGATCCAATTTCTTCGTCTGGGGTGAAGCAGATGTGGACGGTTCTCTTGGGTTGGTATCCTTGCAGAATAAGTCTACGTATAGCCTCCAGGTATTGTATACCTACACACTTCATGTCTTGGGATCCTCGAGCGTAGATGTTACCTGCATCGTCCTCTTCCGCTGCGAAAGGCTCGTAGGTCCATTTGTCAACAAACACTGGCACTACGTCCATGTGAGAACTCAGTAGTATAGAAGGGGACTTTACCTCACTACCTATCCAGCTGGCTATCACCACTGGTTTGTCTGCAGCCAACCACTCCAGCGTAAAGATCAATCCCAACTCCTCCGCGTAGCTCTTTAAAAACTTAACACAATCATTGTAGTCACAGTTTGGTTGCACTGATGGAATTTTCAAATATTCTTTAAACTTGGCAACAGCCTTTTCGTCAAGAGATGACATATTATTGACAGTTATCAATGAGTCACAAAACAGTTAACATCACAACACTTTATCACAGTTGAGTTCAGTTGTTCACTGCAGTGAGACTGAGACTGATATGACTTGATTGTTGTGACCTTCCCCCCTTCCCCCCAGCCATGATCTCAATAAACAAAGGCATTGCCACTTAAAACAAACTGTAAATCTAGGCTTTTATGCCCAAGGCCAACAGGTTTTTCTGGTATGCCACTGGATTTGTTATGTAACAAAACAATAAATCTAGTTTTATATTTATTAAATAAATAAAGTATGATGATAATAATTTGTTATGGTTTGTTAAGTTTAATGTAATAATTGTCTATATATATATATACATATAGTGACTTTTTTTATCATTAATTGACAAAAAGATCTGGGCCTGAAATGTTGTATTAGAAATAATGTTTAAATTGTCAATATATTTTCAATGTAATAATGTCTAATTAATATTTAAAACCTAAGATGTAAAAAATTAAATTACTTCAATAGTAAAATGTGTTAATTGTGTTTGTAATATTTGATATGAAATTTATCACTCAAATTTACCACGATTTCTTGTTAACAGTTAAATGTTAAAAAGCAATGCCAAAGAATATGATACAAATCCAAGATATTTACTGACTAAATCATTGATTGAAATTTGTTCAATCTTTAAGCAAAAAAATTTAAATAACAATTTAATCACTATATGATTACTATACAGTAATTTGTTTTTATATGATAGAAAGAAAAATTTTTATGAAAGGGAATCCAATACTAAAATTGTAAAAAAAAATAGAAACCAGCCTAATATATGTTGTATTTTAAAATGTTTCCAAAGACTTAGAGAATTGACAAACTTAACAGTTAAACTGCAGTGCAATGACTTGCACATACTTATCTTTGTTTTCCTTTCATCAGGGTATCCAGAGTTCATTTATTTAGTGTGTTATTTACATGTAGCTAATAACACAGTGTTTGTTCCTATTTTACTGTTTCATAGTGTACTGGAGTCCAGGTTGTATTATTTAAACTCTTTGAATTTCTGAAATGTCTTTAGATGAACTTGCAGTTGAAAACTTTAAAGAGTACTTGAGGATTCCATCTATCTCACCAGATTGTGATTACAGCGAATGTGTTGAGTTTATCAAACGAGTTGCAGACGACATAGGTATTTTTGTGCATGTGGAATGGGTGGATACGGACAAGCCGGTGGTGATAGCCAGCTGGCTAGGCAGTGAGCCGCAGTCTCCTTCTCTACTGCTGAATTCTCACATGGACGTGGTGCCAGTGTTTCCCGACAAGTGGACTCATGAGCCGTTTGCTGCCGAGGAAGACGACGCAGGTAACATTCACGCACGAGGGACTCAAGACATGAAGTGTGTTGGTATACAATACCTCGAGGCTGTCCGTAGACTCATCCTGCAAGGATACCAACCCAAGATAACTGTCCACATCTGTTTTTCTCCAGACGAAGAAGTCGGCTCGCTAAAAGGGATGAAAAAGTTTGTGGAAACAGAGTTTTTCAAGTTGCTCAATGTCGGTTGTGGTCTAGACGAAGGAGGGCCTTTCCCAGGTCATTATTTTATTCTATTCTACGGTGAGTTGACATGGAATGCGTTCACCATCGTTTGTCCTGGGACTCCTGGTCACGGCTCATTGTTGCTTGAGAACACCGCTGGGGAGAAAATATCCGTTGTTATCGACAGAGTGATGGCAAAAAGAGAAGAGTTTAAAATGAAAAGTCTTGGAAAACGTGCTTTCCACGGAGAGGTGACTTCCATCAACTTGACCATGCTGCAAGGCGGAGTACAGACTAATGTGGTTCCTCCAGAGTTGAGGGTTAGTTTTGATTGCCGAGTGCATCCTGACACTGACATCGAGGAGTTTGAGAAGTGGCTATTGAGTGTCTGTGAAGAAGCTGGAGAAGGTGTGAGGCTTGAACATCCCCTGAATAAACACATTATTGGTGCGACAAAGTTGAATGACGAAAATCCATGGTGGATGGTGTTGAAAAACCAGTTTGATCAGATGGGAATGAAGGTTAAGCCAATTATGTGCCCTGGTGGAACCGACGCCAGGTTCCTCAGGAAAATCGGAATTCCTGCTTTTGGCTTCTCCCCAATGAATTTCACTCCCATCTTAGTTCATGAGAATGACGAGTTTCTAAACAGGAACATTTTTCTGAAAGGAATTGATATTTATATGAACATTATAACGGCTCTGACAAGTTTTTAATTTGTGTGCAATGTTTACCCTTCTAGTATATTGTTAAATTGTGTACCTATTCAAAATAATTATGTATTCAATCCAACCAACATTATAACCACTGAAGAAAAAAAATCTTTTAAGATTACCTATGAGACGTTCTGGAGATAACAAAAAGAAATATGTAACAATAATTTCAAGAAGCAGAATATTGACCTATGGTAAAGAAATTACAATATTATCTAAGTGCTATTGAAACAAGTAGCTAACTTTCACATATTTTTATTTAGTGTATTCATAGGTAGTTTACTATATCATAAATAATAATGTAAACAAATTATACTGTTTTATTTACCTGGCTCTTAGGAAATTATCATTTACATACATTTTGAGACAAGTTTCATTCTAAAATTTATCACGGCCATAATAGCTATTGATTTATTCTCACATTACACAACGTTGCTTGGAACTAAAAAAGCTGGGAAACAGCTCTACACCACTTTGGTGGGCGATATTCACTTATAAATGGTGTATTACACTATATAGCTCTAACTGTTTTAGTTTTAGTTGCCAATGCATTGGATACAAAATCAACATAAACAAACTTCCACACAAAGAATGGAATTGCCTGTCTTCCACACACACTAACATATTGCCTCTAACCCACACTTTAATATAGCCCTCTTTACGAATATGACTCGACAAAAACTGCTGTAAGCTAAAGGACTACCTGATGTTCTAAAACCTGGGAGGCAAGTTTGGAGTTACAGCTCGTGACATTTAAGCTGGCACTTGGCCTAGCGCAGGCAGTCTAGGCGGGAGGAGGGTGGAGGTAGGGAAAAGACCGGACTGCAAACATTTCTGCTGCCTCACGGGGTTGACTCCCCTTGTATTATGTACTTGAGCGCCTTCGTATGGGTCGCGAGGACAGTTGATGCAACCCGCATTACGGGACATAATGTTTTTGAAATAGGTACTAGTAGCGATCGGCCAAGTGCCAGCTTAGATGTCACGAGCTGTACTACGCTGGGGCTTGGTTGACAATGCTGTTCGTGAGGTAGACCAAACATAAGATTTATGGCCGAGCCATCTAATGCGTTGCTTCATGAGCCAGGAGATAGCTCTAAAGATTGAGGGTGTAAATCCCTTCAATCAGGTCCAGTTTGTGATTCACGATGGGTTTTCAATGTACCACAAAATATGGAGAACGAAAGTAAATGGGATGGATGGGTTGTTTGTGAGTTGAATCAGGCATTGTGCTATCTGTTACTTATCACTGTGTGTTTGTTAAAAATATTATAAATAATATATGATCTTTTTGTTAATAAGATGAGGGAAAACATGAAGCCGAACTAAATAGTAAATATGCAACAGTTTATGCAGTTCAGTGGTTTAAAGAGGGTAGTTTCTCCAATCCAACACTAAACTTTTAACCTTATTTGGGTTTGTTTGAACACTCACTGGCCACATCCCCATCTTAAATACGGATAAAGCTGATGAACATAATCAAATACAAACTTTAATATTGGATTAGTTACAAGGCAAACATTTCAAACCTTATCCCGAGTATAGCTCAGGGCGTTAGTTTGTTGAATCTCACCTGGGAGCACTGGTCGTGGGTTCGGATCCTGGTCACTGCCACTAAAATATCAGTACAGTTCACCTTTGTACTGTACCGGCTCACTCCTTGCTTTGCTGTAAACGTTCCACACACGGGCGCTTAGTCTATGTGGACGGGCAAATGCAAGATTAAAAGAGGCCGCCAACCTCTTTAAAAAAAAAAAAAACCCCGGTTTTGCTTCCTTTTACATTAGTATAGAGTAGGGATAGACGAGATTGGATTTTTAGTACGAGACAAGACCTGACAAGATTTTTTATTTCTCATACAATTTTGAGGCGAGATCGAGACGGGATTTCCCTTCTCATACACAACGAGAAATGACCGTTGGAAATTTTTACCTGATTTTGTAACATTTTTAGATGACTGTTTGAATACAAAATAATAATAAAAGGCAAGAATATTTAAAATCTTTTAATAAAAAAACATCAGCATAACAAAATGTATATTAATTACGCCTAACTTATTAAAACTGCTTACGATTAGGAAACATGGTGATATTAGTTAGGATAGTTAAACTTATCCTAAAAGAAAATAAATCATAAAATAAAAGCAATATTAATTATTTGTATAAAAATAGTTACTTGTTTTGGCTTTGTTTATAGTAGTAAAACATGCCTCACACTGCTTACACTTAACAAAACTTCTCAATTGATAAAATAATTAAAGTAATATATACATGTAAAGAATTAATTAAATAAGAACGCCTTCGCAAAGGAAACACAACTACAACGCATTTCTGTGTTGCATTGCATTGACTTTCTGCAGGCGTTTAAATTTTTTTTAAATTCTTGTCTTGAAAAAATCTTGATCAAAAAGAAATCTTGTCTCGAGATTTAAAATTTCCCGAAATTTCGAGACTTGACCATCCCTAGTATAGAGTAGAAGGATTTTTCTGCAAAGTACTTAAATTTTTGATCAACATCTAGTGTATCTAGTGTATCTAGTGTATCTAGTGTTTATCTAATTAAAGTAATATATACATGTAAAGAATTAATTAAATAAGAACGCCTTCACAAAGGAAACACAACTACAACGCATTTCTGTGTTGCATTGCATTGACTTTCTGCAGGCGTTTAAATTTTTTTTTTATTCTTGTCTTGAAAAAATCTTGATCAAAAAGAAATCTTGTCTCGAGATTTAAAATTTCCCGAAATTTCGAGACTTGACCATCCCTAGTATAGAGTAGAAGGATTTTTCTGCAAAGTACTTAAATTTTTGATCAACATCTAGTGTATCTAGTGTTTATCTAATTAAAGTAATATATACATGTAAAGAATTAATTAAATA